ATTGATTATTTATTAGTATAATATGATTATTAATAAATATATCAATACTTGTATTTAATTGGAAAATTATTATTTCATGGAAATAATATTTTACTAATTGAGAATTTATTATTTATGGAAATAATATTTATTGGAGAAATAACAACTTATGAAATATATCATAAAGTATGATTATTTATAAGTTATATTTATCCCTTAATAAACTAGTTCAATTTATATAAAAGATAGTTTTATATAAAATAAGATATTTATATATTCATATTTATATCTTAATAAGCTAGTTACAATTTATATAAAATATAGTTTTATATAAAATAAGATATTTATATATGACTAGTTATATAAATATCCCTATTCTAATAAATGAATAGTTTTAATCTCATTTTGTCAAGTGTCACTCTAATACAACTTCTCATTAATATTATGACATGTGTCATGTAGATATATTAGGCAACTCATTTCAAAATTCAAATTTACATTTTCTAATAATATGTTAAATTTGAAGTTATAACTTTAAAATTTTGATATATCTTTTAATTAATAATTTATTTAAAATGACTAATTTAAAACAACTGATTAATAGCTATAAATTTTTATTATAAAAGTTTAATTAATTTTATAACCGTGGTTCCCATGGGTTATAAACTAGTATATATATATATATATATATATATATATATATATATATATATATATATATATATGTTGGGAATTCTTTATAAAAATACTTGATTTTTATAAAGATAACATGTATGTGTATAAAAAACTAGCCATGAGAAAACTTTTTTCTTCTTTTGGACATGCCTTTTTCGAAAATTGTAAGGAGACCAAGCATGGTCTTCTTTTGCCATGCTTGGGAAAAAGTTGTCCCTATTTTACTTTATGGTCTCCCTTTGCTTTTTTGGCCTCTATATAAGGGAGGGCATGGAAGGTTAGATGGGATGCTTGAAAGCCTTCATTCTTCCTCTTCTTTGGCTAGCAAAACCGAGAACAAAAGTGCTCCCACGAGGCTGCCAAATTTCGAAGTTAAAGCATCCTTCTTCTCCTCCATTATCTTGCATTTGATGTTAAAAGAATGTCCCTTTTGTTCCTTCACCTTTGAACATATATTTGGTATATATTTCAAAGGCTTATGAACAACCAATTACAAGTGAATACTAGCATGTTTTGATGGTTCTACTCTTGCTTGGTGGATACTTATAGAGAACTCTTGCTTTAGAGTTTCATGCCACGCTTCATCAACTTCCAACCTCCCATGAGGATCAAAGTCTTCAAAGGTTGTTATGCTTTCCCTTCTATGGTTGTTTTAATCTTCCTAACTCTTGCAAAATGATCCTTGGTGGGTAAAATAGTTTTAGTTTTATTCAACATTTTTAAAGCTTCCGTTGTCAATTTTACCGGTTGTGAAACCGGATTTTTGAATAAAAACCCAACAATTTGATGTACACTTGCTTGGTTAACCTCTAGACATTAGTGAGGTGGCACTCCCTAATTATCCCATTGTTTTTCCTTTTTTTTACTAGTATAGCCGAGAATGAGGGGGAAGGAAAAGAGAAGGGATAGGGTTTGGGCCTTGTTTTCTTATTTTCGAAATTATGAGGCCCTAATTGAAGGTTTTAGGCCCATTGGGCCCATATGAGGGTTTACGACCCAAAAGTGATACGGAAAGGGAGTTTACGACCCATTAAGGTTCAAGAAAGCATTCACGGCCCATTAAGGCCCATTACAACAAAGTGAGACATTTTAGGCCCAATAAGGCCCATGAGAAGTCTTATGGCCCAAAATGCTATTGTTTAATGAATGTGGGTCTATTTAAGGCCCAAATAGGGTTCCTTGACCCAAAATAACCAAATTGAGAGTTTACTGGCCCATTAGGCCCAATAAGAGGATCCTTGTCCATTCTGAGTTTGAACCGGGATATTAGGGTTTCAAACCCATAGTTGAGTATATGAGATGCATTGAATTAGGTTTTGAACTTCACTCATGAGTTTTGATTCAAATGGTTGATTTTGAATGAGCATAGTACATGACATCAACTTAGATTACAAGTTATACAAGAGTTTATTACATGAATACAGAATTTCCTAGCCAAAAATGCTAGTTGTGACATCCGCTTTGGGCTCCCGACACGAAAACTTCCCAGGGGGGTCACCCATCCCTGGATTGCTCTCGCCAGAGCACGCTTAACTGCAGAGTTCTTATGGGATCTGCTGCCTTCGCGACTTTAAAAAGCATTGTGACCAGGAAGGTATCCACACCCCTTATAAGGAGTGTTTAGTTCTCCTTCCAAGCTGATGTGGGATCAGGTGCAACCCACCTAAAATGGTATCAAAGACTAGGGCACGGGTCGATGTGTTCGACGGGGACGTCGAACCCTATAATGGGGAGTGAAGGTGGGTTGCACCTGATCTCACATCGGCTGGGAAGGAGAACTAAGCATTCCTTATATGGGATGTGGATACCTTCTCTGTCACAATGCGTTTTAAAGCCGTGAGGGCAGCAGATCGCATAAGAACTATGCAGTTAAGCGTGCCCGGGCGAGAGCAATCCATGGATGGGTGACCCCCTGGGAAGTTTTCGTGTCGGGAGCCCAAAGTGGACAATATTGTGATACGTGTCAGAGGGGGATGTTCCAATTATTTTGTAAAAATTGTTCTTTATTTTAACAATTTTAAAGTTCAATTTAAAACAAACTATTTGATTCCATTAAACTTTTGTAGTATAAACAAAAAAAAAATCACATAACAAAACAAAAATAACAAAGATATGTTATAATTTACAAATAAATAAAACATATAATATAATATTTTTTTGAAATAAGCTTAAAGAATATAATAATAACAATATGATCTTATTTTTACTATAAAATGATAGAGGACGTGTTATTTAAGAACAAAATTTCTAGAATCTTTAGCCAACACCGTTACTTTTCTTCACCCCCAACATTCGCTATTGCTCCGCATACACACACATACACGTTATATAGATCTATCGTAGATTTTAGATTTCGATCTGCGACCAATCACCACATACACTCTTCTTCACCCCAATATCTGCTACAAGTGTACTGGATTTTGCCAAAGATTTGTCTATGTCCATCTGAAGATGACATGTTCCCATTCAAGCTAAAAAGAAAACAATTTCCAATTCGATTACATTTTGCGATGACAATCAATAAAGCCCAAGGATAAACAATTCCAAATGTAGGTATTTATCTTTCAGAATCGGTTTCTCTGTCAAACCTACCATCATTTGCCACCTTAATCATCGTTTTTCGTTATCACCGTAACCACCATACGTTGTTGTTTTCTCTGAAAACCCTACACCACCACCGCTCACTGCATAACTCTCATTGAATTGTTTAAATGTAGTAAACTATTTGCGCCAAAGAACTAATCGCCGTCTCTACAAACTAATTTCTGAAGAAAAAAACTATTCGCACCCGGCGCTTGATGCGGGTAAACGGCTAGTGTGTGTGTGTGTGTGTGTGTGTATATATATATATATATATATATATATATATATATATATATATCGACATCAAACTTGCACTCTGGAGCTGGTAATAAGAACCTTGAAACATTATCCTGCAAATATCCTTCTCTAGTTCCAGGAGCACCACCACCACCACATGTAGTTGGTCTTGCTTTCTTCTAAAAGAAACCCATCTGCTCTGAAACCTGATCTTTACTAATCTCCTTACTCCCATTAAAATCCCAACTCGTGAACACGAACATACCTTCCGAAAGTAATCAAACCCACAAGTGAATTACACGAAACCTGCCCAATCGCCCGTGAAAGCCCTGATTTCAAAAACCCAATTTCCTCCTTGATGATACAAGTATCCACCACAAATAAAAACACCCGATAGGTAATTAGGGAAGAGGGTTTTTCATTATGGAGTTCGTATTCGATTATGGTGTACTTAGGGAAGAGTTTGGTTGGGAGAGCTATGTATGTTCCTTGTCTTATCTGTTCTTGTTTTATGATGGGTAGGTCAAAACAAACATATTGGTTTTTGTTCCCAGTCCTTGCCATTTCACTTGTGGAATGAGTTAAATGAAATTAATGGACCGAGTCCTTACTTGTAGACTGAGTCCAAGCTATTGAACGTTATAACAAACATATTGATTGACATTTTTGGACTCAGTTCACATTTGGACCAATTAGAAGCCAGATCAAACACACTCTAATAGACATATATATTTGATACTAAAATATTTGTTAAGTTACATCAGTTGGATTCTCTGTACATATTTAAGATTCAAACATGATTCAAAATTAAGTAAATATCATTAATTGGGTTTTTATATTTGCATCAGTTACATCATTAAACATATAGATTTAAGATTCACAGTCCACTAGAAACTAAAAATAAAATTCTGAAATACAAAAGAATTGAGAAAATGGGATTGAAAATCAGAAAACAATCAAATTGGTGTTTGATGTTTATGCTTGATTGAGTTAAACTAGTAAGAAAAATCAATGATCGGAAGTTGGAACAAACACATTTTTTTCCCGAATTTTCGTTTCCGTTCTTGATTTGCAGTTTCCTTAACGTTGTTGAAGTATACATATAATAGTATATCTATATCGTAAAAATTTGGTCCCTCTAATATGTTGCCCTATTCCGTCGAGCATCAGACACTTGTTGAAGGGCAGTCCTGGGCTTTAAGAAAGATGACAACTATTGAAGTATTGATTAGGAACTGTAATTAATGAGATCTTTGGCGGTAAAAAGTTGGCTCACATGAGAATGTGTGGAAAGACAAATTTGCCCTCATGTACAAGGCACTTTAGCTTTCTAACAAAATCCGATAACCGAAGCACAAAACAAATAACTGTGAGATATTTGACATCAATGCCCTAAAACTTGGTAAACATGGATATTTTTGTAATTTACTCCCAAAATAATTTTACTTTTTGTTGCTAGCATGTGAGAATCAGGTGGTCAAAGTATATTTCCCTCGTTTCGTGTACGGTGTGCTTCATTGACTTCACACTTAATTCGAGTACTGCTAAAGGCAAAAATTTGACCTGATCCGAATCTGATCGAGCATATGGTATTCTTCTTCGATCCAAACTCAGTTTTAGTGGAGAGCAACCTTGATCCATTGCCATTGATCCCCCAATAAATGAATCCGAGAACAAGTTATTGCAGGCAGCAGATGCGATGATTATTAGGGCATTTTCGCGTTTTGCAAATTGTACTCAAGTTTGTTAAAGAAGTCATGTAAGTCTGATATTGATATCGAGTTGTACGATTGAGATATATAATACGACATTGGATCAAGGAGTGATGGAGTCAAGAATGGATCAGTATGAGATGATGGAGCAAATCGGTCGGGGAGCTTTTGGTGCCGCCATTCTCGTTAATCATAAATTGGAAAAAACCAAGTATTTGTCCTTTTCTATATAATGGGGTTTCTTAGCGTATAGTGTTGACTGTGTGATTGACTGGATCTTTATGTTGTTTAACAATGCAGGTATGTTTTAAAGAAGATTCGTCTTGCTAGACAGACTGAACGTTGCAGAAGATCTGCTCATCAAGAGGTTTGTTTTCCTGATTTTATCATCTATATTGACTTATTAGGTTATATTGGCAGTGTGTTCTTGATTATCTAAGTGCATTCATTGTTTAGATGGCTCTAATTGCTCGGATTCAGCATCCGTTTATTGTTGAGTTTAAAGAAGCATGGGTTGAGAAGGTTAGAAACAAATGTTACTGGAGATTCAGTGGATATTGTATTAGTTTCACAGTTTGTAATCTCAATTGGTTTGAATTTTGTTTGGTAATTTTTCTGATTTGGAATTTATTACTTGATTAGGGTTGCTATGTTTGCATTGTCACTGGTTACTGTGAAGGTGGTGACATGTAAGTCTCTAGAGAATCCAACACTCCTCCCATTGTATATCAAGGCCCTGTTTGTTACCCTGGACATGACATAACAAGTTGTACAAAAGACATGAATACCCTTCTCGTCCTCATCATTGAAAATATCCCTAGAAAGCTTGTCCAGTCATGTCCAGTGCAACAAATGCAGCCTAATTCTCATAGGTTTTTTATAGCTAATAAAAATGACTCATGAATCAGAGCTGAATTGATGAAGAAATCAATGGGGCAATACTTTCCTGAGGAGGTATGTTTTCTAGAAACCAATGTCTTTTTGGTGTATTGAGATGTTTTTGGTCTTTTATTCCATTTTCTATGTTTTAATCATGATTACTAGATTTCTGCATATTGATAATCTTGTCCTTACAGAAACTCTGCAAGTGGTTTACTCAAATTCTATTAGCGGTTGAGTATCTGCATTCAAATTATGTTCTACACAGGGACTTGAAAGTATGTTATAGATTCTTAAATATTCTTGTACTTTTAGGCCCCGTTTGTTACACATGAGAGGACATACAATACAGAAAGTTTGTATAATCGCATACACTTTTGTTATGTCATGTCCTGTGTAACAAATGTAGCCTTCATGTCTTATAACTGACTCTTTTAGCATTATATCTCCAGTGTTCTAACATTTTCCTTACCAAAGATCAAGATGTTCGTCTTGGTGAGCTTATAACTGTTTTCTTCAGTAGAAGTTGATTTAACTTCCTCTAATCTAATCCACACAAAAATTGAGTAATTTATTTTTTTGCTTAGGGGACTTTGGACTTGCCAAGACTTTGAAAGCTGACGACTTGGCTTCTTCGGTATGTTTTTATATTCATATATTTACTTATTTGCCATTGTCGATCTATATATATAATTGAAGTACCTACATATGACATACATCAAAATATCAAATTCTATAAGTCGTGTCACTATGTGTATGTATATATTAATGGAAGTGTTTCTCTTAGTACATAAAGATGCCCTTGATACTATGTTGTAATGGTTGATAACAAGCAAAGAGATTGGTATATCCCATGAAGGAAATTGTTGTATATATTTTAGGGCAGGAGTATGATTCATGGCTGTTAGCTAATCTAGACTTAATTTCTTTAATCCAGGTGGTGGGGACACCAAATTACATGTGCCCTGAACTGCTTGCAGATATTCCTTATGGCTTCAAATCGGATATATGGTCCCTAGGTATTTATTTTTCATTACAATTTCAGTGTACAACAGTTGTTAAATAAACCATCATTTGTTAATTGTTATTCAACATCACTTCTGACACAAGGGTGAAATGGTCATTTACTCATATACCCCAACTTGGGTTCAGTATGCATAATGATTTCATGAAGTTACCCTTGTTAAACTTGAGCACAAACTTTAAGCCACATGTTTGTTGCTTTTCATTTCCCACTTATTATTTGTGTGCAATAATATATTTTAGGTTGCTGTATGTATGAGATGGCTGCTCATCGCCCAGCATTTAAAGCTTTTGTAAGTCCTCTTGATTCTTGAACCAATTTTTCTTACTCCTTTTCTTAATCACTATTCAGCCCATGATTAGGGTTATTTCCAATGTTTACCTTTATTGTTAGGACAGCTATTTGTTTTGTCTTTACTAGTTTTCAGCTTCATCATAAATTGAGGTTTGATCATCAGAATAATTATTTGATGATTGAATGAATCTAGTTCAGAGTTTTTTTTATCTGATTCTGTGAATCATCTATTTTCGTTTGAATGAGTTTTTCTGTCTTTAATTGTGTCCCTTTTCCTCTTCATTAGTGAAAGTTCCAGGATAAAATTACATCTTTCAGTTACAGCATTGTTCTTTCAATTTTCATCTTAAAACTCCACCACCCGATTATAGCAGTGAAAATTGCTTTTTATTTGGATTTCATTGCTACAGTTGGATGGATAATTTAAAATACAAAACTTCAATAGGAAGAAATAAAAGTAGGATGATATTGTAAGCAAATTAATGAAAGTAATTTTGCTATTTCTTGCATTCTTTCAAAATTACTTTTTCTAGCTATTTTAATCTGATGTAATAATATTAATCTAAATCAGTCTTTTTGTTTTTAATTTTCCTTTTACCTCTTCACTAGCAAAAATTCCAGGTTAAAGTTATATATATATATATATATGTTACATTTGTGCTTCTTGAGCCTTTTTCTTTACAAAACACATTTATAAAGGTTTTGCAGATTTATTTTCTTGAAACTATATTATACCACTGCAAAGTAATATTTTCTTTAGTGATTAAACCATTATACTATAGTGGTTTAATCACTACAAAACAATGAAAGTACAAGTGGTTTTCTGTATTTTACCCTATAAATAAATTCAGAAAATTTATTTTTGATTGTGTTATATATTTATTGGTTTCAGGACATGGCTGGACTGATAAGTAAGATAAGCAGATCCTGTATTGGTCCTCTGCCTCCTTGTTATTCTCCATCTCTGTAAGTCAATTGGTTATATAATCTTCAAAAACACAAATATTTAAACAACAATTTCATGATTTATTTTGGGTAAACAAACCTTTCTGAAGTTGTAAAATCAATTTTTTTTTTTTTCTCTTCAGAAAAACCCTTATCAAAGGAATGCTGCGTAAGAACCCAGAACATCGACCCACTGTAAGCATTTTCCTAATTGCACAAATTTCAAGGAATATCAATATACATTATTTTTTTTTAACTTATCTTCTTAAATTAATTAGGCAACTGAAATCTTGAAACATCCATATCTGCAACCATATGTTGACCAATACCGGCCTTCAATTGGTCATCATAACATTACCCCTTCAAAGCCCCTTGGGAGACCTCATCATGATATAACAAGAAAAAAAAGATCTGAAAGCCAAAGTAGCAACAGTTCTTTTAGCGACAAAGATAGTGTCATATCAAGTGAGAAAAACATTCAAATTTGTGACCATAAACCGGATGACGAACACTGCATCGATCCGTTTTTCAACGATGAAATGGACATTTGTGCGTTTAGAATTGAGGAGAAAGAGGTGGTGAAACAACCCAAGTTAAATTACGAAACTACCCCTGTGAAAAATAATACAAGGATGGGGGTTAAAGATGGAAAAATTAGGGAACATAGTTCCCCCATGCGTGGTGGCAGGTTAAAGGCTGGAGGTGTTGAAACACCACCACCACCGGAGAAGGGTAACTTTGAATTCAGGAAGAGAACTCCGGGATCAAATTCCGTGAAGCATCAGGTAGGATTAACTTTTTTTAATTTTTTATTTGGCCCACAAAATAATAATAATACACTATTTTTATAGTTACCTAGACAAGAGGGCAACCCACCCAGTGGGCCCACTATATCCATTGAAGATAAATTAAATCAAAGACTAAGAACCCCACCCCCACCCCAACCAAGTCTTCTTAGAAAACCATCATTCCCAGGAAGAATTAAACAACTAGCCATTGAGCCTTCTACTACTGAACCCATTCAGACTCCTCCTGTTCAGATCAATGTCCACACAACCATCACTAAAAAGGTCCAACCTAATGATCCCATTCAGCCCACAAAACATGACACTCATGATCCCATATCCATTCAGACTCCTCCTGTCCACACAAACACTCAACAAAAACTTGTTTCAAAGATCATACAAGAATCTCGAGTGGGTGTTGTTTCCGATAACAAACAAACCGATAGTTTCAATTCCGTTGCGTCTTCCGCTTCCATTCAGCAATTCCAACCTTACGGAAATCATACTCGAGAAATCCCTGATTCCAGAGTACCCTCGGAATCACATTCCGATTCAACGTCGGCTTTACAGATTCCGACGATTGAAAAACTCGCTCCTGGTGACATGATTCACGGCATCAGTCACAGTAGCTTTCCCGATATTAAAATCTTTTCCTCTCCAACATCTTTGGAGCCATCAGATCAATCTGGAAAAACGGAATTGAAATCGGAGGTTCCGGACACGCCAACGCCAACGCCACCGCCACCGCTGCCGGAAATTCAGGAGGAGCCACCACCGTCAACGCCGCCGCCGCCGGTGAAGGAAAGTTTGGATATAACGTCCACCAGGCAAAGGGCGGAGGCGCTTGAAGGGCTTCTTGAATTATCGGCTGATTTGCTTCAACAAAACAGGCTACAAGAATTGGCGGTTGTTCTTAGACCTTTTGGGAAGGATAAAGTGTCCCCACGGGAGACTGCTATTTGGTTGGCCAAGAGTCTTAAAGGGATGATGATTGATGACACGAATCGGAGTTTGTAAACTGGTACGTTTTTTTTTTTTCTTTTTCTTTGATTGATTTATATTGGTGGGTTTTTTTTATGGTTTTACTTTGAAAAAACAAGATGGTTTTACATTTCCCACGTTGTGTTTGATTTTGTTTAAAGTGTTCTCTGTAATTCATTCATTGTGTTATCTTTGTATATATGGGCATTACAAACGAAACGAAATAATTTTATGAATTGCTTCCGGTTATTCTTGTTCGTTATTATTAAAAGAAACCGCGAGTTCAGATGTATTGTAATTCAAAGTTTGAAATGTTTTCATAAAGGCCAGTGAATATGGGTCACTCTATATTATTTTTTTTGCCACATCAAGCTAGAAAATGGTCAAAACACACCACATTATTTTAACTAATCAATAAACAAAATAATTTTATAATTTTATAAAACATAACATTTTAACTGAACAAAATATAATTTCATATCGTGAATGGCTAAGTTTGTGTTTTCGCTTGGTCAGTTTTTTGGTTCATTGATTCGGTCTACTAACTAATCGTTTACTAACTATTGAATGTATTTCAAATTAACAAACATCATGATTACTATTCAAAATAAGGATAATATTTCATCATAAGGGAAGCATCGTAGTTTTTTATTTGTGGACAAAAATATTTGACAAAAATAATTATAAACTTTTAAAAAAAATATAAAATGACATAAAAAGAAAGTGTCTGTTTGGAAAGAGTCCAACTCCAAGCACACATAAATGCACATAAAGAACAAAACTTGCTATTTTTCGAGTTTTTATAGGACCTAGCTAGAACAAAACTTGAACTGTTATCTAATTATACTAAATATGCCAATAAAGTTGTTTATGTTTCATTCTATTGTTAAATTGGATTTCAACCTTACCACCAAAACTTGCTATTATCGAGTTTTTATAGGGCCTAGCTAGAAGAAAACGTAAATATAGATGAACGTATGGATGTTACCAACCCAACCGGTCCGAACCCGAATAACCCAAAAACCGAATAAGGGTAATTGCATGAACCGAAAACCGAACCGATTAACCAATACGGGTTCGGTTTGGTTCGGGTATTAATCGGTTCGGTTCGGTTATTACCCGAATAACATGTACAAGATGATTACGGAGCAAATATAACCGAAAAAAACGAATAAACCGTATTAGGATTCTATAACCCAAATAATAGAATAACAATGTACTTTTATACATCAACGTAAAACATTCAAAGACTAATATAACACAATAACACATTGAAAAAATAGCATTTACATACTAGATTAACATAATGAGAATTAATTTTTTACTTGAGTTTCTTGAGTTGAAGCCTAATTTTCCATGACTAGACACAATATGAATTCGTGAATCCTTAGAGACAATAAGAATGGTCGATTTTTGGAAGTCTGAAACAAGATGAATGATCGACAAAAGTGATTTCGATTTTGGAAATAGTTGAGTAGATTGGTCGATTTTGAAACGACGAAAACAAGCGTTGGATTTTTTTTTTTCTGTTATGAACGACGATGATAGAATTGTGAATCATGATGTTGATTTCTGTCGATAAGAGAAAGGGGATGAGGAATGCTTGCTTATTCGGGTCGGGTATTTAAAACCGAATAAGCTCTTATTTGGATAACCGAACCGAATAACCCGAGAACCGAATAAGCATAATATAGATACCCGAAACCCGAATTGAATTGCTTATTCGGGCCTAATTCGGTTCGGTTCGGTTCGGTTCGGTTCGGGTTCCGGACCAAATTCTCATCCCTAAATGAACGAATTATAACATGTTAGATGCTAAAGTAGACGCTGCATAAAGTTTATTGAGAATTTGACAAATTTAACCAATTTCTAACCAAACTTTCCAAAAATAAAATAAAAACATTTTTTTTCAAAAGTAACCATCGAGTACGCAGAGGCAAGGGGTTTCTGTGGACTCAACATTAATTCAAATATAGGAATATTTTGGTAATTTCCATGAGTTGTAGTACCATCTTTATGAATAAGAATACCCTCTATGAAACTATGTAGTTAAAAAGATACGAAGGAAAATCTAACAATAAAATCAGTGTGGTGTAGTGGTAAGAGCTCTCTCCCTTTGTAAGGAAGTTGGGAGTTCGAGCTTGGTATATATCTTTTTTCTTCCTCAAACTCATTCCCTATATAACATGTGGTAATCCATTTAGTTATTCACTTACAACCATAATCCATAGTTCTCTATTATTTGAAGATGTGTTTCTCAAACAACAATCATGAAGAAAGCGTTACCAATTTGTTTGTTTACCAGCACAACCTTAGGATGCCGAGCCCTCATAGTTACACTAACATCAACACTGATGTTATGGATCATTTCGAACTCTGTTTTTGTGGCTATTTGATGTGCGGTAAAATATAATTTGTTCTAAATAACATTCCGTCTGGGTGTGACAAATAATGTCGACTCTTATATGTGGTTCCTGATGAGGTTGAAAGGAGCTCTCATGGACGCTAGAGAAGTATATCGTTCATAACCAATATGAACGATGTCATAACTTCTTCGTTAGGTAAGGTATTCTCTGATTTTTATTACGGGTATTATTGTAAGAGTGTGGTATTGCATGTGCACACAAGACTTGGTAGAAACAAAACATTTGAACATTTGTTCAAGCATACATGCAAATCATATACTATGTATGATTTCGAAGAAACATTTTGTCGGCTACCCCGACCACATGTGAGGTGCTTGCCAACATTGGTCATGCGAAATGGGCAAGACCATATTTCCCTAACATTCGTTGGAATGTACTCAACATTGATATTCCATAATTCCTCAAGGTGTTATCGGTTAATAAACACAATGTACCGATAATAACACTCATTGAGGTAATATGTGAGTACATTAAACAAATTTTTATTCAACGCAGTCATATAAGAGGTCAAATTACCAAAAATTATAATGTTTATTTTTCAGGGAAGTTGACTTGCGTACTCACCCCATATGTAGAGATGATGCTTCAGAGGAGGGTGCACAGGTCTGTTTGGTGACAGTCAGCAAAGATCTCGTCCGACATTTTTCAACTTTTTTATTTTTAAAAAACTTGTGTTGTAGATCTGAACCGCCACACATATTCATGTGGAAAATGGCACAGTCTCGGTATAGTGTGCGGTCATGCTATTACGACATCATGTTATTCAACCATCACAGAGTTTTGCCATATGGTTCAGATATATTATCGATATGATCTGATGTGTATCGAGTATACCAGAAGAAACATGTGCATCATCTTCCCACTCCATCTCAATAGGAAATACTTGACCTAATGATGGTCGTTTTAATCAACCGAATATTTATTTTTAACCGCAATTAATATGTTTGGATATCGATTTGGAACGATGAAAGAAAATTATTATTGTCCTATTATTTTTTACATATTACAAATAAATAGAAACATAATTTAGAAATACCATACCATTATTTATCCTACACAATGTTTTACAAATAACAAAATATATAATTTAAAATTACGTGACAACTTTTAAAATATTCCAAGCATGTTCGTAAGGAAAATCAACACCGTTATTTCTGTTTTTGTATTGCAGCCTAGCCACCTTCAAAATTACTTCTTCATCCTAACTCAATAATTTGTTGTCAATCTTGTGATACATTTTGTTAAACATCTCCACCTTTGATCTTATATCTTTAAACCTACTATTGAATTCTTCTTCTGTTCAATACTCTCTACGAGATAACTCATAATGAAACATATTTTAAAGTTGGCCTAAAGTGATCCATACATCAAATATGAGAGACCGGTGACAACAATATCTTCCTTAATGATTATCCAAGACCGAATGAGCATGATCTCTTCTTCTGAAGTCCATGATATTGGTTGATTTGTTGCCATTTTGTAGTTATATAAGTAAATTGAATGTCACTTTTATTTATAGTGGGTCATGAACATTTCGCACAATCTAATACACACATTTCGGACTGCCATACTAGTCATACAACATTACACACACTCCAATACATAGACTCCTGACCTAACATTCTGGATACACATTCCTGACACCCATTCCGAACACAATTTTAAAGTAAAAACGTCACACTATTAATATGAATCTACCATCCACTACATAACAGATGTAAACGAAGTACATTAGCAAAGTAATCACTTGATAATGAGTTCATATGAATTTGTTTTTTTGCCATTATGAAGAAGAAGATCATTATGTTTTGTCACAACTAGCATTTCTGGCTAGGAAATTATGTCTATGTATGATTAACCTTTGACGTATCTTGTAACTCCAAGTCCATGTTATGCATGTTATTCAATTCAAAAACAATTATTCAAATCAAAACTCACTTGTGAAGCCCAAAACCTAATTCGATACATTTCATACACTCTACTTTGGGATTGTAGCCCTAACTTCCTAGTTCAAACATCTTTTGGGCCAGGAATCATTTATTGGGCCTAATGGGCCAATGAACCCACAACTTGATTATTTTGGGCTAAGAAACCTCATTTGGGCCCTAGTTGGACCCACATTCATTAAACTACAACATTTTGGGCCATAAGACTTTTCATGGGTCTTATTGGGCCTAAAACCACATAATTGATGGCAATGGGCCGAAAACCCATACCTTTTTATCATTTTGGGCCGTAGACACACATGTGAGCCCAATGGGCCGAAAACTTCCTTATTGGACTTTATATTTTCGGTTATATTCAATACTAGCCCAACATCAAAAATTTCTTTCATCATCTCTCCAATTCTCGGCCCACATATATAACAAAAAAAGAGATAATATGTGATTAAATTGGAACTTGACACTTCATTAATACCTAGAGGTTATCTATGCTATTAGTATTACATATATCTAAGCTAGATCATTAATCTTTCATGTAAAAACCCAATTCAACCTCTCTCTCTCTCTTCTTCTTCTTCTTATCCTCGGCCGAAGATCCCACCACCACCCTCACTTCACCCACATTTCAAACACTAAATTCTCTCTAATCTACAAGAACTCTCTCATCCTTCCACTTCATCAAAATTTCGCGTGTGCTTGTGTGTGTGTGCTCAAGGATGCATAAATACTTAGACGTAGTCAGAAGTATAACCAGCACGTTCAAAAGCTTTTCCATAAAACAAATCTCCCGGGGAAAGAACGCAAGGGCGGATGACCTCAGCACGCTCGCCTCAACTTCCTATGATCACTTAAAAAAGAAAGTGCTAGTCGAAGTGCTCCC